AAGAACAAAACAAACAAACAAAAAACATTCACAGCACGATGACACTGCAAGATCATCTGGAATATTTTTATAAGTTTATGATGAGTTTATGCCACAGATAAGTGAAATAAAAGAAATACCATAAGAACAGAGTGTCCAAAAAAAAAAAAGAGGACCCACTTAATGGGCAATAATTCTATCATCTCTGCACTAATTTCAACAAAACTTTGAATTCAAAGTTCAACTATGGGGACATTAAACATGTAACTATGAAGAAAATCAACTACGGTGTTCGAAATATATCAAGTTTTTAAAAGTTCAACCAAAATTGGGTAAAACGCAAAAGGTTTAAAGCGTCCAGCTACAGGAGCGTGATGGGCGCGTTCTGGTTCCTGGACAATGGCGGCGAAACCACGATAGTTACATCAGATGGATATCTCATTGTGCTGATACTGAGATAGTTTTGTAGAAGTTTAGGTAGGGGGTGTTATGCTGTAGATGCCTGGCTCTAGCAAGATGGGTTCACACCCCACACGTCAAAAGTGGCCCCTGTGTAGTTATAAGAAAGGTTTTGGGAACGCCATTAAAAGCCGAACGTTTGCAAATTATGGTCTCCACCTTCTCCCAAACTTGAGCTCTTTCAATTACTTTGGGGGGGGGGTGCTTTTGTCTGCTTGATGGTTTCGGTTTTGTTTGTTTGTTTGTTTGTTTGTTTGTTGTTTGTTTGTTTTTGTTTTTCTATAGTTTGTTTGTTCTTTTGTTGATGGACCGAGTTTACGGAAACAACCCACAAACAATCTAACAGTTAAAACTCAATGTTGAATATGGCGTCCAAAGAACCGACCCAGAAACACGCTACGAGACCACTCAAAATTCCCGAGGAATAGGTTGGGGGGGGGGGGGTATCGTGGTAAAGAGGTTAAGGTGTTCGTCTCTCGTTCAACAGGTCCTGGGTCAGAATTCGGATAGCGACGGAAAGTTTTCTTTTAAAAAGAATTTCTCCTTTCACATTTTTTCCTGCTCTCTAACAATCTTCTGTCGTCATCTTGTGTCTCCACTTCTGCTCTCTCCTCTGGGCTCCTGACTCCTGATTCTTTCTGCAGCCTTTCAACTGGATAAAGGGGAAACATCTCGGACGTCCCGTGTACAATTTGCGCACGTTAAAGATTCCTATTGGTTGTCCAAAATAGGTAAGAGGCCGCCACCTGGGGAAAATTCAAAATTTCCTGTATATCAATCGAAAATGTTTAATGTGTCCCACGCGCTCATATGATGTTATGCAGTAGCAAGCGCCGCAAAACACTTACCAAAACCCCCCCCAAAAAACAGTGGCACACTGAAGCTTGTAGCGAGAGAAATGGTCAAAACATAAAGATTTAAATAGCAATTGCCTCCCTGGGTTTATTTGACAATATTAGTTTTGTATGAATTCACTGCTCAAATTTTAAAAGAAAGTAGATCTATGCTTATTTGAAATGGAATGACTGGGTGATTTGAAGTAGCAAAGTTTGGCGTTTCATTAAAATTTTGTTTGAAATTTAAAAAACTTAACACCGTGACATTTCCCTTTATTTGGGTCCTCTTTTTTCAGACACCCCAAAAGCTCCAGTGAAACCCTGAGTTTATCTGGCAATACCTTTGGTGTATTAAATGAATTTGTTCTTCGATACATGATAGTGACTATTTGAAATTAAACAATATGGTTGATTTTTAAGAAGTTTCAATGTCTTGCGCTTCACCCGATTTTGGTTGAAAATTTTAAACTTGATTTAAACATATCAGAAGACTTTTCAAAAAAATATTGACAAATTTTAATGTCACCTTGGTTGAATGTTACTACTTCAAAGTTTTGTTGACATTGGTCTAAAGATAACCGAGCTAATGTCCTTTAACTGAGTCCCTTTTTTGTTAAGACACCTGGTCCCATAATTAAACCAAATACCCCCCCCCCAAAAAAAAAAACAACCCAACCCACCCCAACAAAAGCCCACGGATAGGACACAAAATATTACTGAATGGAAGAGCGCCCTATTCGCAACCTGTAGCCAACAGAACCACTGGAAGTCCACGATCTGTTATCTAATCGAAATGAAAGATCTACTGAGACGTTCCACGTCGCCCCCGCCTTTTTGTCGTTGACGGGAAAAGGTTGGGTCCTTTTTTTTAAAAATTTTTACTTAGGCTAACTTCATGCGGTAACAAAGGCTTTTCCCTTGCGTCTTGGCAAGAATAACATACTTGTATCTGATTCCGATCTACCGTGTGACAGTTTGGTACAGCCTGTATGTATCAACGCCAATCGTTGGAAGATGTTTTTCATTTCCAGCAAACTCAAAGGTGTGAAATGAAGGCCATTGAATGTATGTTGTAGGCCGAGGCCCCTAGTAGGTCTAAGATAACTTTAGGCCTAGGCTAACTGGAGTGGGGGAAAGTATTTTCAGTGAATAGCCTTGGCCTACTCTCAAAACCAAAGCGCATGAACTTGCCCAATATTTTTGGTCTCCAAGGCTGACGTCATCGGTAGTGTCTAGTCTAGGCTATGCTATGCCAAACGAATCGACTCTTTGATTGAGGCTCGGAACAACCAAGGCTGACAAAGGGGTGGAGTATAAGTGGCAAGGTAAAGAACAGTTTTGACAAATAGCAGTCTTGCGGTTCCACGCTTTGTGTATTTCAAAATGCCTGCAACCCCACGCAAAAAGGCGCCTGCGAAACAAGCTGAAGAACGGGAATACGAGCTGCCGCCGTGCCCACCCCCTCTGTTGCCTCCATGTCCATCTAAACCCAGACCGCCAACGCCTGAACCTGAGCCACCTATGCCAGTTTGCCCCTGTCCTGCACCTCTGCTTCCTCCATGCAAGAAATGAACGTGGTAAGGGAAAGGTAAAATGACCCATTCAAATAGATCTAGATAGATCTAGATCTACATTATCAAGTTACTTCATACTGTAATACTGTATGTAGACTAGATTCTATATCTACAACGTAGCCTATTCAGTTTAGTGAGAGATAGCTTTGAAGCGATATAATGGCTTTACATGTATTTTAGCTCAAATTTTAAGATATTAAAAAAGATACATTATGCAGACTATCTGTGCTTATAGATCTAGAATCTAGATTCTATGTAGATCTAGATTTCTATATCTAGATTCTAGTCAGGGGCAGCTCGTGGTTTGTGAAAGTGACCGGCTACCATTCATATTGATCTCCCTCTACCCCCCCCCCCAACCTCTACCTCAACCTCCCACCCTCTTGGTTTTCCTCCCACCACCAACTCGCCGGGTTGCTTTTGGGGCCAGGTAACGCTGTAGCAGGAAGTAAGCGGTGAACAGAACACCAAACAGAACCATTGGGCGTCTCTAAGCTACGGATCCACCGGTTTCTCGACGTTTGACTTTACGTGTCAAACTTCTTTGTTTGCTTGTTTGCTGCATCAAGTGTCAGAAGTTTGGCTATAGATCTAGTCTAGATCCAGCCAGTCGAGACGCCGACATGCAGTCGGGGAAGATTGAAGAATACCGGACCAGTCGTCCCTCGTATTATTGCGCGAGACAAACTGACAAACTTGTAATGAATAAATCTACCGGTCCGAGATGATTAATTGAGAGAATTATGGAGAAATATTAAAAACAGGGAAATCATGTTGAGATATAGAATCTAGGCAAAAGTAGTCCCACCCAATCCGCTGGTCCGGTATTCTTCAATCTTACCTGCAGTCGCATTGTAGCTTGACCGGACCTCCTTAAAAGGAATGCACGACTTGACCTTGCCTACCCAGTTGCTACGTCCAGTACACAGTACACAGCCTTCAGCAAGGAGTGCCGAACTTGGCTCCAAGAACGCGCCATCCGAGAGTACAAAGAGTAAAAAGCAAAATTGCCTGCTGCCCGCCAGTTGTGACCCCGATTCCTGGCCGGTCGTGTGCGAAGACAGTCCAGCCAGTCATGAGGTCGGCCAGTAGGCCTACTCCCGTCTGCTCCACCATCCCATGCCACTCCTCCCCCTGCAGACACCCCCTCCCTATGGAGAATGACACCTCCAATCCCCCTCCTCGGTTTCTTACCGGGGAGGACAGTCTGCCATCCCTTCCCAAATCCCCCAGTAAGCTGCTTTCCATTATAAATTATAGAGGGGGAGCCACGTAATTCCTCTGTCTCCCCCGTAAGGAGAAGGCGCAGAGCTCATCGAAGCCGAGGCCTTTCAGCTCTTCTACTCTAAGGTATCGAATAAAAGAGGGGGGGGGGGGGAGGTGGCACATTCAACCATATACTATGTGGGAGGAGCAGCGGAGTGAAGAATTGAACAACAAACTCCACAATAATACTGTATTTGCCCAAACTGTGCCCACGAAAACTTTCGTGTCTCTCCAGATGAGACGAAAATGTTTTAACTAGATTGCGTATGGTAAAGACCTCCCTTATAGGAAGATGAGAATCCCCTTTGTATCAGATGCGATACATATTTTACCACTAGGCGCATTATGTACGAACTTCATTAAAGAAATTGTGCTTCGTCGTTGATCCCAACAGAATTCTCGATTTTCAAAGGCCATTGGCCTTTACTGTTGTAAATAGTATAGATCTAGTTATTTAAAAATAAATTGCTGCTTTTTAAAAACAAAACTTTTACCCTATTATGTTTAACCTTTAAATAAAACCGAGCCATGTATGAATTACCGTGATTACATGTTCAACAAACGTGTTTAGTGCGTTCTTATGACCTTTTGTATTGTGAACGCGTAAAACTCTTTCTTCACTGAACTGAACCGAGCTGTGGAGCCAAAACTTAAAAGTGTCCGAAGCCTCCCCGCTCTCCTGTAATTAAATTGACGTGATTAGACCGGTGTCTATAGTGTTGCGGTTATGCGCTTTGCTGGTGGACGCAGGAGACCAGAGTTCAATTCCCGCTCAGTGGACCTGACCAGAACATTAAAATTTATTAAAATTTTATTGAGCATCTCGGTCTTTTTCCTGTGATATTGTATTCCTATCAGCCTGGAATAGTCCTGACTTGCAGGGTTGAAATTCAGCCTCTTTTTGTTTTGTGTTTGTTTTTGTAAGTGTTTTACGGCGCTCGCAACTGCATAAGGTCATATGAGCGCGCGGGACACATTACGCTTTTTCAGTTGGTAGGAAATTTTGAATTTTGCCCGGGTGGTGACCGAAGCCTTCTCTTATCGATTTTAGACCACCAAGGGATCTTTAACGTGCGCAACTTGCTCACAGGCCCTCCGAGATTTTTCGCCCTTGTCCGAAAAGGCTAAGTGTAGATCTTTCCTACCAGAAGATCAGGGGTGTGGCTGAAAGACAGCAGTAAGAAGAAGCCAAGGAGTAGCAGTAGAAAGGCTGTAGAAAGAATCAGGAGCCCAGAAGAGGGGGTTGGGGGGGGGGGGCAAAGGAGATGAGGGAGTGGGGGCAGAAAGAGGAGACGAAAGCAGACGACAGAACATTGCTAGAGAGCAGGAAAGGAGGTGAAAGGGGACAAATTTAGAGAAGAAAATTTTCCGGTCACTTCCCGGATTCGAACCCGGAACCTTTGAATGAGAGGCCAACACCTTAACCTTTAGTCCACGAGAGCCCCCATTCAGCCTCTTAGGCGATCTATTGTCGTTGGGGGCGTGAAAAAACACCTACAGTTAAATTAATTAATTAATTAATAAATTAATAAATAAATAAATAAATAAATAGTACAATTAGTATAAAGCTGTATCATAAATAGTGCGGTCAAAAATTCGTGGCCCGACTTATCCTCAAATGTCTCTTTAACTTGAACTGGTGAAATCAGTGTCACCCATACTTTGCACAGCAGTTTGTATATTTGTCTTGACTAAACCATAGATCTATTTTTTTCCACATCAGTTGAGGCAAGCTTAAAAAACTTTTCTTCAAAAATGTATATAAAATACTACAAATCTCCGTGACGCGGAGAATGGGATTGTTCACAGCACTTCACGCTTCTCACAGACATACGTCACAGGCTTACCAATGACACGTTTTAGTGGCAAGACTTGTTACAAGAAATTAATTTTATAATGAACATATTTATTTTTTTGCATTAAAGGTTCTCAAAACAGTTGTTCAGTGACCATGATGTTGCCATTAGAAAAAAAATGATGGGCTTGTTTTTAAAAGCGATATTGTTCCAGTTGTAAACTTTTTAAAATCTACAGAAAGTACTTGTTTAGATTTTTTTTTAAATTAGTTTTTAATAAAAGGAAATTTTAGAATAAAGTTAAAAGGTTTTTTTACAAAAATATCGATCTGTCAAGACACATCGATACAACAAATCATTGTGCGAAAGCTGGGGAGTTCGATAAGGAAGTTTAGGAATCATTTTACAATAATTTGAAACGACAAATTTTTTACCGCACTACTATCACATAGATTCTTGCAATTTTTGCTAACAGTATCATTAGTAGACTACATGACGTATAAATTCTTGCAAATTTTGCTAGCAGTATCATTAGTACAAATTCTTGCAATTTTTGCTTTTCTTCCACAGGTTCCAGAACCACTTGCTTACCGGCCCGCCAAACCGTACCTTGGATTCCTTGAATCAACAGGACAGAGGAACTTGGCGTGCAACATGGTCGCGGCCCAGGACTCTTGGGAAGTCAGTGGACCTGACCAGTGTGCCCACCCCTCATTCCAGCCCCCCAGCCACAAACACCATAATAGCCTGTAATCTTTACTCCAATTAAATAAAAACGAAACAAACAAGTGCCTGTTTCTTCCCGTTTCACATCATTGTTTTCTGTTGATGGTGAATATGCCTTAATTTATTGTCAAAGTTTGTTGGGACCGTATTCTCATTTATGTTTATTTATATATCCATTTATTCTTTTATTTGCTGCTGTTATTTTGGAGAGTAAGACTAAGAGAGAGAGAGAGAGAGAGAGAGAGAGAGAGAGAGAGAGAGAAAGAGAGAGAGAGAGAGAGAGAGAGAGAGAGAGAGAGAGAGAGAGAGAGAGAGTAAAAATTTCTTAACTGAACAGGTGAAAAATATCGTGTTTGCATGGCTACCTAGCCATGTGAGCATCTCGAGGAAACGAGCAGGTCGATCTTTTGGCGAAAGAATCCGTGTCCATTCTGTTGTGATTAACGGAGACTCCCCCCCCCCCCCCTTGCGACGCTTACAGGCGTAAAAAATACGGCGAGACTCAAAATAAGCTACATTTACACTCTGTAGGAGGAACACTGGAGCGTACAATAAACGAACTCCACAATAATTTTAATATAGTGCTCAAACTGAGTCAAACGGGGCCTACGAAAACCTTCGGGTCTGTCCAGGAGTTTGTACATAGTACATGTACACGAAGTAAATCAATTGGCGTGTTCATCGAGAAAGATCTATTTTTTAAAAATTGGGTACCGTACAACGCAAAAATTTGCTTTTTTTGTTGTTGTGTCCCTTGTAATTGAATGTTATAGTTGTAAAAAAAAAAAAAAAAAAGAAAAGAAAAAGAAAAAAAGTTTGGAGAATGCCTAAATAAAAATAAGCCGACGTTTTACAAATATGTTAACGAATAAATGAATGATCACAACATTCCCCTCATTCCCTCCCCCTCCCCCGCCAGTACTTGGGCCCCTTCAACTTCATTTTATTACCTTAGGGGACTTTTGACAAGAAGTAATGGTCTGCCGTAGTCTATGGAAACGAAACGAAACAGCCCACAAACAATCGGATGGTTGAAACTCAATGATGAGTTGGACAGGGCGTCGAAATGAAACCATCGACTCAAGAATTAACATGCCAAAGCCTTCAAAATTATCCGTGGCATAATAATTATTAATAATAGGAGCTTCTACTTCTACTTCAATTGGAGAAAAATTAATATGGCCATAACCACCCTACATTAAATTTGGCAATATCAAATATTGCATAAATTTGCTCTTCAATACATGATATAATAGATACTGAAATAGTGACTTTATTATTATACATTTATGAATTAGAGCACCAATGTTAATTTTTAAGAAATTGCAAAGTAGGCCTACTCAGTACTGTAACTGTAAGGTTTTCTACATTTTTGTTGAAAATTTTAAAACTTGATATTCTTCGAACCTGTCATTTGATTTTTATTTAACATAATTATGCAGTGCCGTCCCACACATCGAGAGGCGGTGCCAGTGCACTGTTAGTGTTTGCCTACATACAGTGGAACTCGGATTCTCGGAATCAACGAACTCGGATTCTCGGAATCAACTAACTCGGATTCAACAAGAACTCGGATCCAAAGAGATGAGATAGATTCTTCTTCTTTTTTTTTTATTCTTCTTTAAAATCAATAAAAAGAACCCGGATTCAATGAGAGGTCGCAGCTGTGAGGTCATGGGGGTGTCAAAAGTTGAGGGACCAGCTGCTATTCCGGAGAGGAATAAAAGGCCAGTCTGTTCACAGCAACACTTTTCAATCACGAATTAATGGTACTCTGCGAA